CCAGAACGGGGCACGAACCCGTGTCCCCTGCATCGGCAGGCGGACTTTCAACCACTGCGCCACCAGGGAAGCCCCCATCAATAAATTATTTTTTAAAAGGATAGTGACTCACTTTCCCCATAACAGATCAGATCTTAAGGTCTAGAGGGAAGGAATGGGGAGCCCAAAAGATTTTGCTAACACAGAAGACATTTAGAGGTACAGCTGCCATCGTGAGGGACATTTTGCAGAGACAGATGAGAAAAGACGACCATTTGGATGTTTTGCTCTATGCCATTCACTGACACCTACTCTGGACATCTGTTTTAGATGCCTGGGAAATCTTAAACGCCCGTTCATTATGTTCTTGTGTAAAAGCAGTGAATCTTTTGAATGTGACATTTAGTAAGAGCTGCCATAAATCTGTTCTAAAACGAGGAACCAAAAGTTGGGTATCTACTTTCTGCAGGTTAAACCTCAAATCTGCAAAATATCCACCCACCAACTGGAACCAACTTTGTCTCCTTGATATATGTAAGGGAAAGCAGCAAATTTTAACTACCCACTGTTAAAATGAGTGTGTGGTTTGTTTGTTTTTTAACCAGTTATTCTGGAGGTCGAAAGGGTAACAAACGAATTAGCATCTCAGAATGGGTAGTAACTCAGAAAGCTCAGAACAACTCTTTAGTGATGTGTATGTTGTTTTCAATTAGGGTATTTACATTAAAGGCTGGAAAAACTCTATAAGTTTCCTGTTGCTGCTGGAACAAATTGCCACCAATGTTGTGGCTTGAAGTGGCAGATATTTAGGATCTTAGAGTTCTGAAGGTCAGAGCTCCACTGGGCTAAAACTGAGGGGTGGGCAGGGCTGTGCTTCTTTCTGGGGCTCAAGGAGAGAACCCATTTCTTGTCTTTTCCAGCTTCAACAGGCTTCAGGGTTCCTCAACTCTTGGTTCCGCCTTGTCCTCAAAGGCAGCAATGGCCACTGTGCCCTTTTTCCATTGCTTCCCTCTGGCTCTCATCACCTTTTCTGCTTCCTTATTCACAACAAAGCGTCTTTGTTATTAAATATGGACCCACCCAGATAAACCAGAATATATTCCCTCCATCTTAAAGTCAATGGATAAGCAAATATCATAACAATAGGGACCGAGTAAAGGGGCAAAGTAGGTAATTAAATAGTTAATCCCTCTAGGGGATTGTACGTAAAGGAAAAAGTATGGGAGACCCTGTAAGTTAATGATCACTCAAGAAAGCAGGCGTGCTGAACCACAAAGCCAAGCAGCCTTATTAGCAAAAAAACCATGCAACAGAAGTACAAGACATGCCCCAAAACAATTTAAAAAATGGTGGCATGAGACCCACATCCTGCCCAGTGAGCTCAGTAAGTTAATGACCCCTAGGACATGCTCTCTGCACACATAAAAAGCAATAATTTATGAAACGGTGACATTTCAAAGTGAAAGACCCTCACTGTACTGAGACCTGAAATAATTTTTCCACTGTGCCATGACAGTCCCAGCTTGACCATGTGGGGGACAAGAAAACCCCCCTGCCTGATGTGGAGGACGAGCTAAGGACGGGAAGCCTGACGTCCTGACCCAAGAATGAGGAAGAGGGCTTCCCTGGTGGCGCAGTGGTTGGGAGTCCGCCTGCTGATGCAGGGGACGTGGCTTCGTGCCCCGGTCCGGGAAGATCCCACATGCCGCGGAGCGGCTGGGCCCGTGAGCCATGGCCGCTGAGCCTGTGTGTCCGGAGCCTGTGCTCTGCAACGGGGAGAGGCCACAGTAGTGAGAGGCCCAGGTATCACAAAAAAAAACAAAAAAGCATGAGGAAGAGGGTGGTCTTTTCCCCCTCCCCACTTTTCCTTTGATTATAAAACTGCAGCCCACTAAGTTCTCAGTGGCTCACGGCACCCTCTCGCCTACCTTCTTGTAAGCTTCACAAGTGCCCTATTCTAATAAATCGATTCTTATCTATCACTTTGCCTCTCGCTGAATTCCTTTTTTTCTTTTTAATATTTACTTACTTATTTGGCTGTGCTGGGTCTTAGTTGTAGATGCAGGATCTAGTTCCCTGACCAGGGATTGAACCCAGGCTCCCTGCACTGGGAGCACAGACTCTTAACCACTGGACCACCAGGGAAGCCCCTCGCTGAATTCTTTCCACACTGAGACATAAAGAACCGGAGCTCCTCAGAGCCCGCCCGAAAATGCCACCTAGCGGTTTCAATTCCATCAGCAACCTTCATCCCCTTGGCCCTGTAAGGTAACATATTCAAAGGTTCCAGGGATTAGGACGTGCCCTTCTTTGGAGGAGGCATTATTCTGCCTACAACAAGTCTCTGTGTGTCTTTCGAAATTAAGCATGCTTGTCTCTGTTGCCATGCCAACATGTGAAGCTTGACTAGCACAGGATAGGAACTCAGAACTATCATTGGTAGGGAAGTCAGATGGCCACACGGTTGGATGAATGCGTCACGACAAATCTAAAAAAAATAATGGAGTACCAAAGTGGAATACTGAATTCCAAATAGCCAATACGGCTGTGCACACATTTAATGAAATGGACTGTTACAAATTAAGATATGCCCTAAAGCAAGGTCTTTGGAGAAATCAGCATGATGCCGTAATTTCCATGTGTTATTGTACAAGTGGGGTTTATTCATTTAGTAATAACCAATAATTAAATATCTAAACCTCCATGTTGATTCACAAATGGATGCAAATCATCTATTTTTAAACCCTCAAAACTCCTGACCCAATAGGCTGTGATTTTCTGTTTCTGCAAACACACGGGCATATAGCTTCCCTCACCAGCAAAATTCCATTATGTATCTATTGTAGGGAGATCAAATTTACCTATTCAGCCCCTATTAGATTTCTGATTCTCCCGCCAAGATGGTGTGAGGAGATATCACGTGCCAGAGTGCTCTAAAAAGCCCAGAGGAATCAACAGGTAGCACTGCCTTTATTCTTAAATTTAGATTGCTTCTCTATTAGGCAGCTTTTTTCGCGTGTTTCTATTCCCAAATTCCTATTCAATCCTGAACCACAAAGAAACGGCCGAATCGTTTATGGGGTCAATCCACACAACTGCACATCTATGGGTCTGTCATCAAGGAAGCTACTGATTTGTCTTCCTGGTGGTGTAACTGTACCCCGACCTCTCAGAAGCAGGCATTCTATTTGAAGTGCATTCCTTGTTTGGAAGGTTAACGCTATACAGTCACTGGTTCAGAGACACCAGCATATCAAATTTATGATGAAACCAATTTTATTTTATTTTTTTTAAGATTTTTTTGTTTGATGTGGACCATTTTTTAACATCTTTATTGAATTTGTTACAATATTGCTTCTGTTTTATGTTTGTTTGTTTGGTTTTCTTTTTTGGCCATGAGGCATGTGGGATCATAGCTCCCCGACCAGGGATCAAACCACACCCCCTGCATTGGAAGGCAAAGTCTTAACCACTGGCCCGCCAGGGAAGTCCCATGAAAGCAATTTTAATCCTTTACCCTGTTTTGTTTCCACCACCCTGTCTTTGCTTCTTTTTATTCCTTTCTTTGAATAGTTCATGAGAAGAAAGACCATGACACAGGTGGCTTTGAAATGAGAACTCTAATTGGTTTGGGTGGGGTTATCCATCCTCTTACATATGCACCAAGCAGCTACTGAGCACTAGGGCAGCTCAGCACAGGGCATGGAAGTAAGGCGTCCTTGAACCCTATTCAAGACCTAGACTTTACAAGGTAATTGTGAGATCTGTCACCATAGTGACAATAGCCACATGCCAGACGCTACTAACATAAGGAAGCCCAACCCTTTCACTTTCTCTGGGCATTCTTTGCCATCTCCCTAAGAGACGCCCCCGTCCTGGTTTGAAAGGTACCCATGCCACCTCTTTGCATCTGCACGGAGAAAGAACAATATGGCAGATGCGATCTGACTTTGGAGATCACTGAATAATGTCATCGTTTAAGGCAGAATTTCAGCCAAAGCTCACTGACAAACATCTCCCAAGGATTAAACGTAAAAAAAGGAAAAGAAATGCCTGCGTGAAAGTTACCAAGGACAAGGACACACTTCAGTTTCCACAGTAGACAGTGGTGGCTATGATTCCGCTCAATTACTTTTTTTAAGTTCCAGGAAGATTTCATCCTATGTTTTTCCTTCTCCTTGTATAAAAAAGAGCACATGCAAACAAGAAATGAGAAATGGACTTTCATTGTAGACTAACTTGAGTCTGGTTGGTCTTTAGCAAACATTTTAATTTAAGGTCTACATGAACAAGGAGATATCCAAGTTTTACTAGCATTGGATTAAGTTAATATACGGAACATGACTGTTTTCACAGATGTTCACTGTTGTGTTATCCAGAAGAAAAGGGGCATTTTGTTCAAGCAAGAAAATCATTTTTCTAATGTAGTTAGAATCATCTGACGACACACATTGGCCATTTGATTGCAGTGAATACTGGCAGGAAATGAAGTCCAAATTTATATCAACAACATGGATTCTAAACAATCAAGTCCAATTGTTTTATCAAATATCCCTTGCTTGTGTATATAAAACAATCAGTGGTTCCCTTTAAGACTCAAAAAGTGCTAATATCTTAAGGCATTAAAGCCAAAGGAACCATATTCCCTGTATAATTTTCGGGTGCTCACTTCAGCATGCGAATGTTCTTAATTCTATTAGTTTCTCTAGATCCATTCCTTTACAGATGATTCAGGTATAACATAGAACACTATATGCTCGGACTGGTAATCACCTGCAAATAAAGGCTACAGCAATGCTAAAAAGGCAATATATGGAAAGAATTAAGTCATTAATTATGATACTCTCCATCGATTAGACACTGCATAAATTCAAGTCGAACAAATGGTACGTTACTGAGATAACTGAATATGAAAAAAAAAGAATAGTTATAGAAAATATCACGCACAGGACATTATACAACCCTCTTGGCAAATCTGAGGCTGAGCGAGCAGGTGTTTTCTGTTTAGAATAAGTACTTACCATCCTCCGTGGGCACATAGATATTCAAATAAAGGCAGTCTTCATTCTGATCTTGAACATAGGTCATCAGAGTATCCAGATTGGCAGTAAACCAGATGGGCAGCATGTCATGCAAGAGAGACCGCTCATCCAGGTGCTGGGGGCACACGGCAGCAAACTGAGTGGCGTTCCGAACACCAGTCCATGAAGAGGGGGGTTCCGGGGGCTGAAACCGCCTTTCCCCAGTAGGAGGCGAGGCATAAGGGACCCCCAAGTATTGCTCCACTGGACCCAAAATCTCATTGGGCAGCGGTGTTCTCAAGCCCCGGATTTTGCCGTAATTGGTGTTGACCACAGGATACTGCGCCTGGCTGTCGATGAGCGTGAACTTGATGGCCAGGGCGGTGATCCACAGCAGGACGTTGGAGTTCACCATGACACAGACCGGGGTGAAGACCAGCGGAAGCCATAACAGTCCCTGGGGTCTCGACATGGTTCACCACCACATCCGCGGGTGTCCGTGCGATGCAACTCCAAGCAAAGCAAGCCGTGAAGGGAGCCTGCAGAGAGTGACGGCTTTCCAGGGACCAAGACCCTGGAGAGGGGAAGGGCTTGCTAGGAAGCCTCTCCGATGGGTCATAGACAGAGCCCAAGGTTAACAACAAACGCGGCGGTTTTCTCGGCAGCCCATTACGGGACAGCAGCCCTCTCTTAATCCTGGTGCCGAATTCCAGCCCGTGCGAGGCTCCAAGGAAGCGGTGACCATCCAACACCTCCCTGGGGCAGCGATCACTTAGGAGACCTCGAAGGCAGAGCGGTCAGCCTAATGGGAGAAAAAAGCAGACAAGGCTAAGGAAGGCAAGACCACTGCCACCAATGGCGTTTGCTGTGTCTTGCATGCAACCCTCAACATCACGCAAGGAAATTCTCATTCACCGATGAATTTGTACAGCGGCATCTGCAGGCAGTAGAATTTTGCCAGAGAATTGCTAGTCTTAATTTCTACAGTGAGTCCCATCAGCAAGAACGATGCCAATACTCCAGAAACATTCAAGTCTTTGTTGAATGAACAAACACACTGCCAAAAGTTACACACATTGCACAGATAACTGTACTGATGTCTCCTAATTGCACTATTATTGACAATATTAGCCCAGCAATGGACAGGCACTCCCAAAACACTGTTCCTCAGATGTTTAAGAAAACTGTCACTTTATATATAAAATAAACAAGGACCTACTGTATAGCACAGAGAACTATACTCGGTATTTTGTAATAACCTATACGGGAAAAGAATCTAAAAAAGAATGGATATAGGTATATGTTTAATTGAATCACTGTGCTGTACACCTGAAACTCAACATTATAAATCAACTATACTCCAACATAAAGTAGATATATTTTCTCCCATTCTGAGGGTTGTCTTTTCGTCTTGTTTATGGTTTCCTTTGCTGTGCAAATTGTTATAAGTTTAATTAGGTCCTATTTGTTTATTTTTGTTTTTATTTTCATTACCCTAGGAGGTGGGTCAAACAAGGTATCACTGTGATTTATGTCAAAGAGTGCTGCAAAGCAGAAACAGAGACACAGATGTAGAGAACAAACGTATGGATACCTAGGGGGGAAGGAGGGTGGGAAGAATTGGGAGATTGGGATTGACATATATACACTACTATGTGTAAAACAGCTAACTAATGAGAACCTACTGTATAGCACAGGGAACTCTACTCAGTGCTCTGTGGTGACCTAAATGGGAAGGAAATCCGAAAAAGAGTGGATATATGTCTATGTATAACTGATTCACTTTGCTGCACAGCAGAAACTAACACAACACTGTAAAGCAACTTGTACCCCAATAAAATTTTTAAATAAATTCATACATACATAAATACACTAATAAATACATAAATAAATATTTTTAAAAACCTGTCACTTTTTCCTAAGGTATTATGAGTGGAGCTTTAAAAATTTTCCAAGATGGGTAAAGGGAAATGTGCATCCAGACCAGACTGGCTTCATGCCATGCAGATGTTTATCGGCGAACATAAAGGGAGCAACACGCAGTGGAAAGGGCACTGACACTGGATACTCATCCTCCTCGGGCTACGCAGTGGCATGTGTCTGTAGGCTCCAGACATCATCGCCCTGAATCTCAGCTTCCTTGCAAGAAACTGAACAAGATGGTGCATCTCAAGTACATGCCGTAGGGCTTGTCACATCAAGACACCATTCATAATTAAGAGTGTTGATACAGCAATCCCGATTTTCATGTAAAGCACTGCATGCCTTCAAGGGTAAACCCTGCAGCCTATTTAAGAACCTTCCGGTACCTCCGAGTCATCTTCCTATTGAGTCTGGGAGGAGTTAACTTTTAAAGAATGACCTCCTTGGGAATTCCCTGGCAGTCCAGGGGTTAGGACTCCGGCGCTCTCACTGCCAGGGCCGCGGGTTCAATCCCTGGTCAAGGAACTGAGACCTGCAAGCCACGTGGCGCCACCAAAATTAAAAAAAAAAAAAAGGACCACCTCAATATATCCCTACGGGGATCACATGATGACTCTCCCCAGATAAACCACTGCGCGTATGACATTCAAGAATGTCGCACGTATTATAAATGATGCATTAGAGACAAAACATTTCATGAGGTGTTGCAAGGACTCTATTTTTTTTAATCAACATTTTTTTACTGAAGTATAGCTGATGTACAACGCTGTGTTAATTTCCGCTGCACAGCAGAGTGATTCAGTTACACATACGCATAGTTTTTATATATTCTTTTCCATGATGGTTTATCATAGGATACTGAATATAGTTCTCTGCGATACACAGTAGGACCTTGGTGTTTATCCATCCAATACATAAAAGCTCGCATCTGCTAACTCCAAATGCCCACTCCATCCCTCCCCCAACCCCTCCCCCTTGGCAACCACCAGTCTGTTCACTACAGGACTGTACCTTTAAATACAGCACTCTTCAGCCGAAAATAGACAGATGTGTTTCTAAGGACACAGATTATTCTGGGTTATTCAGAGCCTTTCTGGACTAGAATATAATTATGCATTTCATTTCAGGGAATGGTTGAGTAGAATATGTCAAACAGATAATTTATTTTCTAATGAAACATATCTGAGCCAGATCTATCCCGGAGCTAGAATACGTCTGGGGGAAATTTTGTCATCCATGACATCCTGGGCCAAGTTAATCAGAGTTGGATGAAAATGCACTACAACACGGGATTGTAGCATTGAGAGTGAAAATTCACATCACACCCAATGGCTGATTTATGTGTTTGCTTTTATCTTTGTACTGGAGACAACATTTGGATTTCTGCCACAGCACGATCCAATTGCTGAATAATTAAGAAACAGACAGAAAACGTGAAAGAGGTGCTGACTTGTCTGAAATCCTGTGTTCCTGAAAGCCCTTCTGGTTTAGAACCAGCATCAGTACTTCCCTCTCAAGCCTTCCTCATGGTCACAGGAGATGCCAGTACTTTCTGATTCTGATAGACCCCAAATGTTACCTCTCTGTGAGCTGGAGAAGTGAGTCAACCTCTCCGAGCTTTAAGTAGATGGCATGTCATGCCTCCTTTGTGGGGCTGGGCTGAGCCACAAGTGAGCAAAGGGGCAGGGCAGAGAAAAGGTCTCCTCAACACCCATGAAATGCTGGGATTTTGAACACAGACCTGCTCAAAACACTCCCGGTACAGAGACAAAATGCACTGAAGTCAGCCCGGGGTTGGCATGAAGCAGGTATAGAGCAAGTAGTTTAAATTCTTTGAGCCTCTCTTTACTTATTTGTTTCTAACTCTCTGGGAATTAACTGAGTTGGTCCACACAAGGCATCACATAGTCCCTGGACCACGGAATTCCATTAAGGTAGAATTCAGTTGGTGGATCTGTCCCAGGACTTACAACGTGAATGCCTTGAGGAAGTGTGGTCCACTCCATCATTTCTCCAGCTCCATGTGGAAGACAGCACCTCTATGTCACGTATTCGTTAAGACTGAGCAAGTGAGGGCACACGTACACTTCCTGCTTCACCTGTGTGATCAAGCCTACCTCCCCACAAGGTTCTGAGGGCCAGAGAGAGACCATGCACCAGCCGGACCTAAGAGGAGGGGAATGGAGGGGCGGGTATCTGGACACTCAAGAAGTCCAGGCTAGGCATTCAAAATAATCATACGTTCCAAGCTATCTTATTTCCCGATGCTTTGGAATTTGGCAGTGTGCACAAATGGAATACCACCAATGTCGAGCACTGTTTCTCAGACTCTGCACTGCTGACATTTGGGACCACACTGCTCTTTGTGAGGGCCATCCTGAGCCCTGTAGGGTGTGTAGTAGCACCTCTGGTCTCTACCCACCTGAGGCTGGTAGCACCCGCCTCTCATTTTTAACAATCAAAAATGTCTCCAGGGCTTCCCTGGTGGCGCAGTGGTTGACAGTCTGCCTGCCGATGCAGGGGACGCGGGTTTGTGCCCCGGTCCGGGAGGATCCCACATGCCGCGGAGCGGCTGGGCCCGTGAGCCATGGCCGCTGAGCCTGCACATCCGGAGCCTGTGCTCCGCAACGGGAGAGGCCACAGCAGTGAGAGCAATGCATTATTGACATTGGGGACCGGGAAATTCTGTATTATGGGGGACCGTCCACTGAAGGATGTTTAGCAGCATCCCTGGCCTTTATCACTGGATGCTAGTGGCACTCCTCACCCGCGATATCACAGTATGACAACCACAAATGTCCCCTGGGAATTCCCTGGCAGTCCAGTGGTTAGGACTCAGTGCTTTCACTGCTGTGGCCTGGGTTCAATCTCTGGTCAGGGAACTAAGATCCCGAGAGCGGAGAAAAAAAAAAAAAAAAAAAAAAAAAGTCTCCAGACATTGCTGGGGACAAGATCATCTCAAGGTAAGAACCACGGGTGTAAATCACCAAATACGGGATTATGGTGGCCATGTAAATGACTAAGCACCTGTGGGTACATTTGAAAATTATCATCAGTGGCACTAGATTTATGTTTGTGTGTGTATATATACGTATGTATGTGTGTTTGTGTGTGTCACATTCAAGTATTTGGCAACTGTAAAAGTTTTAGCAATGAAGGTTTAAAAAATAAACCTATTTTAAATATGCATCCTCATTTAAAAATCATTATAAATTTATTTTGGGGAGGACCAAAAAACACTTCTCAGGTAAATGTCACACTGAAAATAATTTTACAAGGAGTGAAATGTTGTTATAGCTACACATAATATATGTATACAGTTAGGATATGTATAATACACGTATTTATAAATATGTTATCTATTTTCTCTATAATATTTATATATTTTCAAATTTTTCCAAAATGAAAACAAGATACTACAGGGCTTCCCTGGTGGCGCAGTGGTTGAGAGTCCGCCTGCCGATGCAGGGGACGCGGGTTCGTGCCCCGGTCCGGGAGGATCCCACGTGCCGCGGAGCGGCTGGGCCCGTGAGCCATGGCCGCTGAGCCTGCGCGTCCGGAGCCTGTGCTCCGCAACGGGAGAGGCCACAACAGTGAGAGGCCCATGTACCGCAAAAAAAAC